AATAGTCTAAACAGCTCCTGAGTCCAGTTTCTATGTGATGCACAAGCCTCATAATAAACAAAAATGTCCTTAACCATCCCTGACTAAACCAAATCCTCCTTTATTTGTGTCTCACACTCTCCCCCTCCCAGACACTGCAGCTCAGAACAGGAGGTTTTCAGCAATAGAGACAGTGCTGTCAATCTAAACACTGGGCAGGACTAGGTGCGGTTACGTTTTGAATGACAAGCTACAGACTTGTCAGTCAACAGTGACAATGCTGACAGTCACACCCCCTGTAACATCTTCTCACCCACTGTCATCCCATTTGTGAATGCTGCTACAATATTGAGATGAACATTTTGGATCCATTTGGACAGAATCTGCTCCACCTTTAGCATGAAGCATTGAAAATCTGGGGATCATATATTGGATAATTATTAAATGGAGTTACAGTACAAAGTGGAATGTGCAGATATAAATGCAAGTGGCGTCCATTAAAAAAAACGGAAAAAAAAGTGTTTCTCTGAAGCATTTGTTGTGTCCGTAGATTTTGACTTACCAACCTTACTTGATGTTTTTTTCTGCTGCTATTTTTCTCCTGCTAGCTCTGACCCATTTGGGAATATAGGATTACAATTTCTTATCAGTGTCTCCTCAAGTTTAATCTTTTGTATGGACTTCAGTAAATATACACTATATTGCCAAAAGTATTGGGACGCCTGCCTTTACACGCACATAAACTTTAATAGCATCCCAGTCTTAGTCCGTAGGGTTCAATATTGAGTTGGCCCACCTTTTACAGCTATAACAGCTTCAACTCTTCTGGGAAGGCTGTCCACAGGGTTTAGGAGTGTCTATGGGAATGTTTTTGACCATTCTTCCAGAAGCGCATTTGTGAGGTCAGGCACTGATGTCGGACGAGAAGGCCTGGATCTCAGTCTCCGCTCTAATGCATCCCAAAGGTGTTCTATCGGGTTGAGGTCAGGACTCAGTTGGGAGCATGAAATTGTCCAAATGTCTTGGTATGCTGACGCCTTAAGAGTTCCCTTCACTGGAACTAATGGGCCAAGCCCAACCCCTGAAAAACAACCCCACACCATAATCCCCATCCACCAAACTTTACAGTTGGCACAATGCAGTCAGGCAAGTACCGTTGTCCTGGCAACAGCCAAACCCAGACATGTCCATTAGATTGCCAGACAGAAAAGCATGATTGGTTACTCCAGAGAACACATCTCCACTGCTCTAGAGTCCAGTGGTGGCGTGCTTTACACCACTGCATCCGAAGCTTTGCATTGCACTTGGTGATGTAAGTCTTGGAATCAGCTGCTCGGCCATGGAAACCCATTCCAGGAAGCTATCTACACACTGTTGTTGTGCTAATCTGGCGGCCACACAAAGTTTGGATGCCTTTAATTACTGACCCTGCAGGCAGTTGGCGACTTCTGCGCACTGTGCGCTTCAGCAGGCGTTGACCCCACTCTGTCATTTTACATGGCCTACCACTTCGTGGCTGAGTTGCAGTTGTACCACACTTGAATTCACTGAGCTCCTGAGAGCAACCCATTCTTTCACAAATGTTTGTAGAAGCAGTCTGCATGCCTAGGTGCTTGATTTTTATACACCTGTGGCCATGGAGGTGATTGGAACACATGAATCCAATGATTTGGTGGGGTGTCCCAATACTTTTGGCAATATAGTGTATGTTCTATCTGCATGTAGTATGCTGGCTTTTTAAAATAATGGATATTTGAAGGTGCCATAGTTGGCCAAGTCCTTTGGCAATTGAGGCAATGTGATACAAATTGCTGACTTTGTGTTTGCAATGAAAGTCTGTTATCAGAATTATCAGAATTATTATCTTGCAGTAAATTAGGAGGAGCATACCACTACAAATCAGAAAGTGTGCATGCAACATGTAAATATGGCTATTTCCATGACCATAGTATATTGCATAATGACATACTGAAAATAGAAACATGGTTTTACCACATACAAACAGAGTATTTATATTTAGTCAATTACATCTATCTACAATTGTGCTAAAAAATTTGCATCAATGCGCCAATAGCACAAAAAGGCCTAGTGAGGCATGTAAGGGTGTTGCTGGGCATATTGTAACCTGGCTTTTTTGTGGAATTAGTGCAGGAAAGACTTCTTTCTGGCAACTCAACAATGCAGCTCAATTTTGTTCAAGTATCGTAGTATTGTGCTCTTTGAAACAACCATTACATCTTTTTCCAGAGCAGCATGTATTTTTCCTGAGGTTACCTGTGGGTTTTTCTTTGCATCCCAAACAATTCTTCTGGCAGTTGTGCCTGCAATCTTTCTTGGTCTACATTGTCTTGGTATCAAGAGATCCCTGAATTTTCCACTTCTTAATAAATGATTGAACAGTACTTGCTGGCATATTCAAGGCTTTGGATATCTTTTTTATATCTTTTCCTTATTTATAAAGTTCCATTACCTTGTTGCGCAGATCTTTTGACAGTTCTTTTCTGCTCCCCATGGCTCAGTATCTAGCCTGCTCAGTGTATCCACATGAGAGCTAACAAACTCACCGACTATTTATACAGACACTAATTGCAATTGAAAGCTGTGGGAAATTAGCCTTTAATTGTAATTTTAACCTGTGTGTGTCACCTTGTGTGTCTGTACCAAGATCAAACATTCCAGGGTATAGAATCTCTTGATCATGGTCATTTGGGTGATTTCTGTTATCATTATGATTTAAAAAAAAATCTAAACAACCACCTGATAATAAATGGCTTCATATAATCACTATCCTTAATTAAAAGACAGTTTTTTGGCATGGTTAGTCATATTTACATTATCAATGCCAAAATGTCACCATTTCTGCCAGGGGATGGAAAATTTTGAGCACAACTGTACATCAGCATTTCTAACCCTTTTTTTTAGTCCTGGCACCCTTCAAAAAATGCAAAATCTATCCATCCTTTTATGTACAAAAAAAATGTCTTGGTGTTTTGGAATACGGAACCCAATAATGAGCTTAAAGTAGAACTATAGGCAAAACTTTTTTCAACATTTTTGTTAGAGTAAGGAAGAGTTATAATTCCTGACAGTTTTCTTCATCATCTGTGTCCGATTGAGAAGATGACTTTTCCGGGATTATCCCAAAATTAGGATTCTCTTTTACTTTCAATGATAATGGTAAACAGGACAAATAGAATGGAAGCACAGACCGCAATAAAAACTGACATGTTCTAATCCATCTGCAGTCTGTCCAAAACTGAAAAAAAAGTTTTGCCTTTAGTTATACTTCAATTCCTTGATGCCTATTTTCTTCATATTTCAATCATCCCTCACCATATATATGTGGACCTCTGTGTATGAACTCCCTCTTTTTCAGTAAAGGATATCCTATTTGTATACTGATCTTACAAATGTTAACTTAAATTATCTAACAATCTTGTGACAATCTTACCTGGAAGCAAGTGTGCTTTGTTTTTTCTTCTGTATGCCTGTACACTTTATAAAGAATTTATAAAAAAAAAGATGCACAGTCTCAACACACCGCAGTCTAAAATGTAAAATACATAAATAAAACTTATCAGTGGGAAAAACTGAATCTTGGATGATGTACACAACTGCCTTGATGAAATTAACTTTACATCAAAAGCCCCACTCCACATCAGAGGTTCCTCCAGCACATCAGGTTCATCCAGCTCTGGCAGCATGGCAAAGGGTGGGAGCAGGAGGAGGTCTGGTGGAGGTGGACTTCCTTCTTTTCCTGAATGCTGGGGAGAAAACCTGCATGCTGCCTGCCTTGAATCAGAGTCATGTATTTCCATGGCATGGGCAAGCTGGCTGCCATCACCATAGCAAAGAATGAGACTGTGCGTCCTGATCCTTAGAGTGTTATTAGCTGTTACAGTGTAGGTGGCCTTGACACTGATGCAGGGCAAAGTAGTTCCGTGCTTGTAGCACCATGGGAGAACCAAGTTGCCACCCCAGGGTGCCACAGCACTTCGGTTGAGAAACACTGATCCACAGTATGTATGTAAAATAGATACAGTATAGAGCCCATTTTAACCAAAATAAAACCATATCAAAGGGCCCCCCCCCCCCCTCCTTTTACATTAGAGATCTCCCTTCACATCAGAGGCCATCCATCAGCTCAGAGGCCCCCAATCATGTCAGAGGTAACCCTATCACATCAGAGACCCCCCTCACATCAGAGCCTTCCCATTGCATCAAGGTCCCACCATCAAAGAGCCTCCTAATCACAGAGCTTTCCAATCACACAACCAACCATCACAGAGGCCCCAGTCACACAGCCTCCCCATCAGAGAGCCCCAAATCACAAAGTCCCCTCATCACAGAGCGCCCCAATTTCAGTCTGCTCTTCACATCACAGACCCATCTTTTGGCTTCAGCAGCACAGCAGTGGGTGGGAGCAGGAGGAAGTCTGGTGGATGTGGACTTCCTTCTTTCCCTGAATGCTGGGGACAACCCAACATGCTGCCTGCCTTCGGTAAGACTCGTGTTGCCATGGTGTGGGCAAGCTGGCTGCCTTCACCAACACAAGGAATGACACTGTGCTTCCTGGTCCTTAGAGTGTTATTGGTTGTTACAGTGTGGGTGTCCATGACACTGATACAGGGCAAAGTAGTTCTGTGCTTGTGGCACCACAGGAGAACCAAGACGGCACCCCAGGGTGCCAAAAGCACCACAGTTGAGAAACACTGATCTACAGAATGTATGTAAAATAGCTACAGTATAGATCCCCGTTAAGCCAAAATAAAACCAGTACACATAAGATGAGACTTGATCTCTACTCCAACTCTCTTTTCCTTTCCTTTTTCTCTCTTTCTTGTCTTATGTCTTATATTTGACTCCCTTCCTAGAACACTGGTGAGAGCACAATATTTTATAACTCTTCTCAGCCACAGTGGGCTCCATTCACTAAGCATTATATTACCACATCTGAGTATGTGATAACATACCGCACACTGTTTTTGGAAAAAAAAGTCTCAATTCACAAAGAAACGCTACTTAACCTCCCTGGCGGTATTCCCGAGTGTAGCTCGGGGTAAAGTTTCAGTACCACAAGTGGTAACCCCGAGCTACACTCGGGCTTACCATGCTGCACTGCTCCAGGATCTGTTCTTCTCTTACCTTGTCCTGCGCTCCCGCGATGTCCCTCCTGCAGTGTCCCCGGCAATGTCCTCCGGCAGATGCCGGCATCTGTCTTCTGGGTTCCATCCCCTGCGACGTCGGGACGTACGGGGACGGAACTGGCGGGGAAATTTGAAAATGACAAAAAGTGACATTCACTAAATTCACTAAAATCACATAGTAAAACATTACTGTATCAAACCATTTCACATACATTTTGTCCCTACTGCTTTGTCCTGTGCGCTGCCTACATTTTTACTGTTCTTTCTGCCTGGAAACTGAGAAACGTCCATGGCATCCAAAAAGCGTCCCTTTAGGTCAAAATCGGTTTTGGACCAGCTAGAGAACAGCGATAATAAATTAGAACTACTTGCAGAATTGAGTGATAATGTTTCATGGGGGAATTCGTCATCAGACACTGAAAATTATTCTGCGACTTTGCTCAATGATGTGCGAACTTGGCGCTATATTTCAAATTTCAGTGTTTTTGGTTTGATTATATTATTGAATTAAATGTATTATTATTATACTATATGATTATTTATTAAATTATAATTTATGATTTTGTGTTTTAAATTTTATCATACCCGGGATGTTTACTAGACTCTTGTTCGGACAGATTTCAATGAGTTATTCCTAAAAATTACAGGCCTACAATAAAAAAAATACATATTTCCATGCAAAAAAATGTACTGCTTTGAGCACAGAAATATGGAGATAATCAAACCGCTAGGGAGGTTAAATACCACGTGCATTAATTACCGTATAAAACCGCACAGTAAGTTATTGCAAACTTATTGCATAACGTCAATTACCACTCTAGATTTTCTCCTCTTCCTCCTCTACATAATTTCCAATTCCATGAGATTGGATTCAAAGGGCTCCATTTTCTGTACTGTGCGGTCTGCCAGCCTCCTGAGAGAACTCCTAAGTGAAATCCAGCTGCCATCTGGACCAGTTTGTACTTTCCTACCTATCTATTTTATTACACCAATCCCTGATCTCCTGAACCAGGTCTTTGACACATTGCATGCCTGGACCACTACTTAATTACCACATTTAGTTATTTGTTTCCTTTAGTGAATTGACTTTAGCACTGTTTTATGCGGTATTTACTAAGCATTTTTGTTTTTTTGTGGTGAATACCGCACAAAGGGATAGTGAATTGACATTTTCAGGATCACATGTGAGATGTGGTCACGGGACCGACATACCACTTGAGATAATCTTTAGTGAATGGAGCCCATTGTTCTGTATAGATTTATTGAAGATAAAATAATTTACCCAGTAAACATTTTTTATTAGACTATGAGGCCAACCAATGCTGCAGAAAATCTGAAAATGTTATGTTTGCATAAAACTTTAGGGGAATTGCTACCGGGATTTATACGACCAGTTCACCTGAAGCATGCCACTATGTTGCCAGTGACTGCAGAGCAAATATTATTGTGGTTGAAAATCAAAAACAGCTGGAGAAAATCTTGCAGGTAAACATCAATTTTAATCTTCTCCATGTACAGCAGATACCATCTTAATATCTTTATAAATGTGGAATAATCCAGACCTATCTATCTTCAACACATTGTGCCATTATTACCCAGTTTACGCCAGTATTCATGAGCATACAACGAATAAATTCATCATGAGCCAACAGAGTCTTCATCTTCAGCCCTGTAATTTTAGGATATCTTTAGATTCAGAAAAATGACATTTTAAATCAAAAAGGTATAGAAATAGTTACAAAAGTACATAGATATGCCTATACAGCTTGGACCAATGTAAATCTATACTTGAGGTACCTCTGGGGAAGCCAACAATCACTTTAATAATTAGCGCTACTACAATGATAGCTGCCATCTTCTGGTTCCTGTGCCAAGCGGCTTCTTCACATTGAGAGGAAAGGGGGTGTTGGAGAGGTTGCCACTGTAGTGAGTGGAAGTGTGTGTTCATTGTGTTAGGTCAAAAGATGAGGTCAATTGAGATGTAGCCAAGCTGTTAACATTAACAGGGATGTTAAAGTCACCAAGAATGATAGTGGCTATATATTTCAGAGGAGAGAATGTAGGGTAACTAAGAAGAAAAGTCTTCAAAAAGCATAATACTGGTCCAGGAGGCTCATAAATCACTGCAATCCTCAGAGAAAGTGGAGCAAACGAATACAGTGGGTATCAAGAGAATAGAGGTATAGGGAGGGAGGGGAAGGAAGGACTTGGAAGGTGCTCACTGGGGATAGAAGGAATCGAATCCATCTCCACCTCCTTTCTGTTCACTAGGTCTGTGTGAGTCCAGTGGAGAGGGCAACAGGAGAAGCTGAGTTAGTATCTTGAAGTCAGGTTTCAGTAATGGCCAGTATATTAAAGCAATGGGAGATAAAAAAGGTCATGAACAGATTTGAGTTTGTTACAGACAGATCGGGCATTCCAAAGGGCACATGAGATTGGGGGGGCTGGTTTTTGGGATGCAGGGGGACAGAAATTAAACGATAGTGATGGGCCGAACACTCCTCTGTTTGGTTTGTGGTCAAACATTCAAACCTAACGAAAGTTCGACCGCGAACTTTGAACCAGGACAATTCACTAAGCGTTATCTTATCGCATCCGAGTATGTGGTAAGATACCGCACACCATTTTTCCTAGAAAAAAACTATTAAAATACAGCATGAGCTGGTTTATTAAGATCCCCACTGACAGCTGAATGTAGTGAGAATTGCCCACAAAAATAATTTGCAAAAAAGCTGGATTGGGTCCCCCCCACCATCCATACCAAGCCTTTCAGGTCTGGTATTGATTTTGAGTGGAAACCCAACGCCAACATTTTTCCCCCCCCCAAAATCCCTACCAGACCCTTATCCAAGCATGGTCAGGAAAGGGGGGGATAAGTGAGCGCCCCCTCTTCCTGAACCATACCAGGCCACATGCCCTCAACATGGGGGTGTGCTTTGGGGCAGGGAAGGCTTCCCCCAAAGCACCTTGTTCCTATGTTCATGGAGGGCCTCTTCCTCAGTGGTTTTAGGGGTCTGCAGGTGGAGGCTTATTGGCTTATTGGAATCTGGAAGTCTCCTTTAACAAGGGGGGCCCCAGATCCGGGTGCCGCCATGTGAATAAGTATGGGGTACATGGTATCGCTACTCAGTCACAAAAAAAAGTGTAGTGTAAAAAATTACAGTAGACTGTCTTTGACAAGTCCTTTATCATAAACTAAAAAAAAAAAGTGCCCTGAAATAGATCCAACATCAATCACGAGGCCCGCTCTACTGCCGACCTGAAAAATGGAAGAAAAAAAGGCTCTGGTCCCGCTGTTTGACAACTGCTCCAGCCTGACAGATCTTAAATATCTAAGACGGGGCCACCTGGCGATGTCCACCTGGTGACCCCACCCCTTTGTGACGTCATCATGTTCTGTGATCGGCCAAAGCATTGCACCTGACCTGTGGTCAGGTGCATTGCTTTGGCCAATCATAATGCACTGTCATTGTGGAGTGCGACAGGCGAACATCCCACAGAACACCCTTACCGTTCGTGTGCTTGCAAACTCGAACATCAAGTCCAACACTATTAAATGGTGTGGATTGCGGCTTTTGCCAGAAGAGGAAGGGTGGGGGAAATCCCCAGAGATGAGGAGATGGAGGGTGAGGAAAGTATGATGGAAGGGGGATGTATATGAGCACATATACCTCACTGTCCTGTTGTTTAGTTCAGAATGTGGTTTCAGTATTTGAAGGTGGTGGTTGCAGTAAAAGAGATAGAATAGGAGTGAGGGTGATATATAAGCTGTGGGGTGGAGAGGGAGGGGTAAAGTAAGGACAATTTGAGGACAGAGAACACTGATGTAAAAAGGAAGAGTAGGGGGAGCATTTTAGAGGGAAAGTAGAGTGGAAATCAGTATATCAAAAACAGTGCTGCGCTAGTACCATCATGATGAATGTCATCCTAAATATCATAAAATGTTCCACATACTTTAACAAAATAACATATTATATTATAACAAATTATGATACAATACAATATATTACTGTACATATATATGTATATGTTAAGTGTCAATGAGAAATGTACCAATCTCACGTAACAAAGTCCAAATATAAATCCGATCGTGAGCTATGAGATGTGCGTAAACACCAAAACTTCACCTTCGTGTAGAAATATTCAGCATAAATCCCAGTGCCAAACCATCACCAGGTGAACTCTCACCTCAAAAATATGACCTCCCACCAAGTGTTTGGTCAACAGCGTTTTTTGGTCCTATCAACGGGACCAAAAACAATTCCTCCTCTCCAGTTAAGGCTCCACTATATTATGCATATTTCCTCCTCCTCTCAGCTCTGCTCCATAACATATAAAAAATTTTGCAAATAGTGCCTTATCCTTGACATGTTTTATTAGTAAAACCAACAAACATATTGCACTCACATGTATAGGGTTCCAGCCTATCATCTTGTAGATCATCTTGTGTAAAGCCTTAGAACCTCATGTATGGGTGTACTTGCATGGGTTCCTATGGGAGTCCAAAGATGGCGTCCACGCCGGAAATGACGTCACCTACGCATTGTGTCACTGCTCACATGACTTCACCCCTGATGATTAATATATATTGTTTGTGTGATTCATTATATTCACCCATTTTGATGTTTAATACTGGTATAGTGATTCCTACTGTTATTTTTTTGAGTGTATTGACACAGAGCACCATTTTGTCACTGTTTCAGTAGGTCATATCTCCCAGTGTTGGAGGCACAGTATTAATTTCTCACTATATATTTATATTGTGTTGTGTTGCACTTTATACATTTACCTTTGTGGCAAGGTTTTCACTGTTTGTTTGTCATATATTATTGTATGTTGAGATTTTTAGGTTTAGTTTGGTAGAGAGCGCTACACCCATTATTTTCATTTATTTCAAAGATGAGGCATTGTTTACTCCCACTGATACCAGGACAGTTTCTTCTCCCACTGGCCACAGTGACCTAAAGTCAGAAGGACAGTAAACTGGCCCTTCGTTTTTAAACTTTGGAGACCCCTGGTTTATGGTGTGAATCTGCACTGTTATTGCTTCATACTTAGGAATTAAAAATGATTGAGTCAGTTCTATACTGCATGCACTAGTCTGTATGGCACCAGCAGCAGGACTCTGCCCTTGGGAATCACTGATTTCTGCTATGGCTCAGCCATTTTTATCAATGTCTAGTCACCTTTGGCAGCCAAACACAGGATCTTTATGCTGACACCTAAAGTGATATTAAAGCTTCATTTAAAAAAAAAAAGAAGTCATACTCACCTGCTTTGTGCAATGGTTTTGCACGGAGCAGCCCCGATCATTTTATTTTCAGGTCCCCCGCTGACGCTCATGGCTTTTCCCCCTTAACCAGTCCCCCCAATAGCAAGTGCTCGATGCTGAGCCCCGCTCTATGAATCCATAAGACACATAGAGCCGAGGTTCGGCCCTGCCCCCTGCACTCTCCTCATTGGCTCACTAGCTGAGATTGACAGCAGCGGGAGCCAATATCTCTTGCTGCTGTGTCTCAGCCAATGAGGAGAGAGACTCCCGTGCACATTGCTGAATCGTGAGAAGTATTGGGGGGCCTGTGGGGGGAGCAGCACACAAATGCTTTTTACCTTCAAGCATAGAATGCATAGTACTTTAAAAAGTACTTGCAGGTGTCAGAAAAACATATGTTGGTATCACTAATTTGGTAACAAGGATTTATTTTTTTTACAGATATGGGATAAATTACCAGATCTCAAAGCTGTTGTACAGTATAAAGGCTCTTTGCAGGTTAAACACTCAAACCTATACACGGTATGTAGTAATGTAAGCATATCTTGTAAAGTTGCCTTCATGTGTCTGTGTACACTACTATAGTCTAATGTATTACATAAATATACAGTGTCAAAAATATAATGTATGTTTTAATGAATGTCTATTATATAAGTGCTGATGGACACTATATAACAATGGCTTCCAAGCACTGATTGGGAAGCCATATGTGTCTGTCAGCTACCTTTAATGGGCTTTTCAGGAACATCTTGGCCAGTACTCAGTACTACTTTACAGTTTCTGAACATCTGCTTCCTATAAGCATAAAGCCAGAAAATGGTTACCACATTGATACTGATAAGTAAATAAAAATATTGCTGTTAACTAAGTATCTGATTGTAAACCTCAGATATGAAATATGAACAAAGCATATCCCTCTATAGTTTTTACTTGTCTCTAAGTGCTAAGTGTCTGTCTGCTGCCACTTCTTCTGCTAACAGCAGGTGTCACTTCTGACATGTTTTCCTGACACCAAGAGAAAAAGGCTGACAGGGGAGGGACCTCCAGCTGATTGACAGCCTCAGATCTGTCCCTGTGTGCTGTGTGAAGGGGGTTGTGTCCCTTCCCTCCAATCAGCTTTCAGATTTCTCCCCACTGAGCTCTGCAGAGCGTAACATCATCTCTCTGCCCACTTTTTTATGACAGCTCAGACAAACTTTATACATTCTGGACAGTTGTAGAAGAGTGAAGGCTCCAGATAAACAGGTGAAAATTATGTAGGAGGATTTGTTTAATTTCTGTGTATCACCTGAGGCCAGTCACTTCACTGATGTATATGTGAGGGTTTACAACCACTTTAAGTATTGTATACAATGTATTTTAGTGCCATGTGTTTTATACTTTGTTGCTTACCATAGACTAGTGCTTCTTATACTGGCACATGACCAAGTCTGGCCACTTCCATGTAACATAATGACTCTTAGAATATTGTATATGTTTCTGATGTTGTATCATGATCAGTGGGATGAGTTCCTGGAACTGGGGAAAGATATTAATGAAGAGCATCTGGATGACATCATAAATTCACAGAAGCCCAATCAATGCTGTGTTCTTATCTACACATCAGGAACCACCGGGAACCCAAAAGGAGTAATGCTGAGCCATGATAATGTAGGTGAAAAATAAAACAAACTTTATATATATCGGTATTTATATATATTCTTCTATCCAATATACTCTTAGTAGACTCTTATGTATGTAACCAGGTAGAATCCTGTCTATGTAATGGTTTAATACAAACATTTCTCCCATTCCTGGTAGAGGAAGTTGTTAAAATGAAATTCGTCAAGTCATTGAATAAACTGAGAATGTTCATACCAACCTTTGTTTGAAATTTTACTAGTCTATGCTAGGCCATTGTTTCTCAACCTTCTTTCAGTCAGAGCACCCTTTACAATTCTGCATAATCTTGAGGCACCCATTACAAAAAGCAAAAAATTAAACAACAGTTTTACAGAATGCAGCAACATCTGCACATGTGGGACGCCCAAAGTCAGAGGTGAATTATTCTTCCAAAGCAAATACACCTTTGCACACTGGTACTGACTAGTATTCCATTGTTTCTCTTCTCCCTCAGTTTCTCTCTCACTCAGCTAATGTGACACCAATGCTGATGGAGAGGGGCAAGGGAGGAGCAAGCAAGAATGCTGTGCAGGAGCCCATTGTCCTTCTTATCAACTGATGACAACATTATTTTTTTTATGTTGTCGGCTAGAAAGTTGTGATGGTGCTGGTGCACAATGAAAACCTGTGGTTTTTTGTAACTAAACGGCAGGCTTGATCCACCTGTTGGCTTGTATACATTTTGACAAGGCACCCTTAAGATACATGAAGGCACCCTGGTTAAAAAAGGTTGTGCTAAGCTTATGACTGAAGAATGCTGAAGTGTGTACTCAGTAGGGATGAGGTTTCAAGTTCACAGCTCATCTGTGTTCATAATTGCGGTATGGAGAGAAAATAAATTTAACCCTGATGTCATGTAATGATTCCAATTAAGTTATAGATCAGATATTCTAGGGAAGATTATCTGTTTTTATGTAAGTAAGACATTTCTCCCAAATTTTCTTTGCTTTTGAACATTGATTTTAGAATGAATTGACTTCACTGAACAAAAACCACATACACTATTAGAAAGCCATTTGTTCCCAAAACAATTTCCATCCTACGCCTTCAAATTTTCTGATTACTGCAGTCAAAAGTGAATGTTTATTTAATCCCACTCATAATTAGAACATCAAACGAACGTACTTAAATCAAACAAGTTTGAAAAATATTTTACTCGTATACAGTATAGCCAGCTTTTGTCTTTCACATTGAATGGCCACTACTGGGCTGGAAGAAAGCTGAAATAACAGGGTGAATTAATCTGTGTTTTTTGTAACTATTTGGAGTTCATCTTTAAAGTGATTTTCTATTTATGGTGCAGTTTCAACTATAAATATGTGTTAGCTGCTAATTGTGGCTATACATAAAAACCTTTTGCCTGGTCTTGTTACATTTTCCTGGTTAACTGTTGATTGCACTGTGCAGTTCGGTCCTACAAGTTTTATTAAAAATAGTACCATAAAATACTACCAATTTTTTATTTTGTCTTTCATGCTGGCCTTTATTGAATTATCCTTAGCACAAGATCTGGCAGTAATATGATCCAATGATCTGTACTAATGCATTTCACTTGGCATGGTACCCATCTGCTTACAGTTCCATTACTTATTCTCAGATCACCTGGACAGCTGCCCATGCCAGTCGTGCTGGAGATATGCAGCCTGCAGAAGTTCAGCAAGAGTCTATAGTCAGCTACCTTCCTCTCAGTCATATTGCTGCTCAGATTTATGATTTGTGGACCGGCATCAAGTGGGGAGAACATGTCTACTTTGCAAATCCGGATGCCCTCAAAGTAAGTGAGAAAAAATTAAAGTTCTCTTTCATGGGCAAACTGGATCAGAGTACATGCAAACAGGATCAGAGTACAGACATGACCTGGAGCTTTCTAAAATTATACACATAAAAATGTTATGTATATTGTATAACACTATGTCTTTAATCACTGTACATAAATAAAGCCTAATAAACGTAGCTTCCAGGAAAAAAATATTTGCTATCTATTGTGAATGGACAAGAGGGGAGAGGAGGGGTGGGTAAATTAGAGTATCTCTCCTTGTCCATTCACAGAATGACAGGATCTCTTCACTGAGGGAGAGCTGTAGCTCTCATACCTGCAGTACCGAAAGTACAGTGCTGGCTGGACTTTCTGGTATTAATGAAATTAGGATTTTTACCTTCCACAGCAGCAATCTGGACCTAGGATAATTATCATTAGAGGTAATTTCTTGTAGAAAGCACAAGTTTTTTCCCCTGGAGCTCCACTTCAGAAATTTGTATTTTAGCCATTGCATGTCCAAATCTCATTGGATTATCAGGTTTTTTTTTTTAATAAATATGATGATTTGGTATGAATTCCAGGGAACACTGGTGGATACATTAAAAGAGGCACAGCCTACATCACACATGGGAGTACCAAGAGTATGGGAAAAGATCATGGAACGTATTAAAGAGGTGTCAGCACAAGCAAGTACAGTGAAGAGAAAAATGCTGTCTTGGGCAATGTCAGTGAACCTGGAAAGGAACCTGAGTCCACCAAGGAAGTATGTATTATAGTTCAGCCAATCTCTTTACATACAAATGATTGCTATTTTGAAACAAGTGTATTTTCATAAATCAGCCCTTAATATAATCTGTCTAGTTTGAATTGTCAGAGTTGCGAATACTGAAGTGTAAGAAGACTATGAACAGGGCCACAGACACCAAAAAGAATATCTAAAAAGTTATTATAGGCAGAATCCACTCAATTAAAATGACCCTATTGCCCAGGTTACTTTACTGTTTTAGAACTTTCCTGGTAACAGTCCTCAGAAGGGAATTATATCAACTACAAAATGAAATAATCCACATTATCTGGGGTAACAAATGCCATCAGATAAATACATTCATGTTATATTCCCCAAAAACACATGGTTTGCAGCTTCCTAACTGTCAGGCACTATGGTACAGTTGGGTTATACTATGGTTAAAGGATCTAAACCCTTGTGGGTATCCATTGAGGCTCTCTTCTGCCTTTCTTATGCTATTGGATCCTTAATGCGGGCTCCTAATTGATTACTCTTTAGCTGTCTTGGCAAAGGGCTCGAACACCTCTTTCCTTGCCTCATACCCCTCAATCCCCTGTCTTTTGGATCTGGAATTTACGCCCAGGCTCTTACTGAGTCTATTTCAGTGGTGGATTAATAGGGCCTATTACTAATAGGAGACTTTCTCGATGACAATAAACAATATATGTTGCAATACTATCGCGAGAAGTTGCTAGATGCCCTCCACTGAAACATTTCTCTGAAATCAAATTATGTTGTTTGTCCAAACTAAACTTGGTGATCCTCTGCCACTTACATCCTTTGAATTATGATGTCAGTCTAAAGACGTGACCAAAGGCTGTATATCCACTTAGGACCGTGTATCATATCTGGTGGCAGTGCCGCAAAGTACTCAGATTTTGGATCAGAATCTTTAGGCTCCTAGAAACTGTTATCAGCATTTTTGTCTTCTCCTAGAAGCTGAATAGTGTTATCCTATGTGTCCATACACACTATTTTAGGCTAATAGCATTTTTCAAGCGGAGCAGAAAAATAATTCTTTTTGTAGAGTTTTTGGCAGCATTTTTTGGGCAGAAACACATGCTGAAAGCTCCCAAACACTACTAAAAAGCTCCTAACAGAATTTTTTTAGATGTACTGTAAAATCGCTAATAAAATGCTAACACTCCTAAATTCTACTAAAACGCTACTACAAGCCGGCACAAAAATTTTATTATTAGTGTTTTTCATACAGCTTTTTTGTCTAGCGTTTTTTGAGCTTATAAAAACGCTAGTGTGCATGGAGCCTTAATCTTATCCGTTTGGTAACAAATGTCCATATTTGTTATTTAACTGGATTATGGTTAGTGATAAACTTACCTGCATCCTCCAAAACAGCACCATGAAATTCGATAAGACGTGGGATCCATGGATCAAATATTTGTCAATGGACTAGTGAGTCCTGGAGTGGCCCTCTTTACTTTCTCTGCTGACACTGACAACACTCTCTCTCTTCTTATCTTTACTTGTTGGCTATGTTATGCTCTCAGATATACCCAATAGGCCTACAAGGCTTCTTCCAAGCTCCCCCGCCCCCCCTTTTTTGTTTTTATTTTCTTCTCTGAAATGGGTGCCACCTACACCTATTCAGAACCACATTGGGAAGCAATACATCCACCATTTTCACTGACATGGCTCTTATTTTTGTTGAGCATATACATCCACCTGAAACTCCCATGCAAAGGGGAATGTGTGCCTGGTGAAACGTGATCAAGCATTTTTTAGTAGCTATATTGGTCTACGTTTTATATGATTATTCTTGACACTTGTTCTCCACTATATTTGTTGCCGATGACTTATGTTTCTTTTTTTCTTTGTATCTGAGAGAATTTGTTTGAATTTGAATTGCTATTCGCTGGCTAATTAAAAACTTAACAGTAAAAGACTGAAATCTCATAAGTTATTATAGATGATTATGTATAGTATGTATATATTATGTATGTATATAGTATGCATATATAGTATATGGCTATAAAGGCTAGTAGTGTTTGAAGACAGGACACTAGAGACAAACATGAGCATGTAAGATTAAATGGATACGCTCAAGGCTTGCCAGCACACCTCCCCCTCCTCTATACAAAAGAATTACTTTCAGTAATAATCATAAAATAAAATTGATAATCTTAATGGCCTCCAGTAAAAAAGCAGGCAGTGCAGTGGTCAGGAGAATTTAATGTGCACTTTCATAGTTGCTCTTGCTAGAATTATGTAATGTACAGAAAAGCAGTCAGGAGTATATCATGTACAGCACGGGTTAGAGTATGCAGCCATTATGAATATATCCTGTAGAGCACAGTATACAGAGTGTAGTGGTCAAGAGCAAGTACTGTACAGTACAAAGTGAATTGTTCAGGAGAATGTAATGCACCGCTGGTGCTGATATTAGGAAGAAAGAAGCCTTCTTCTTCACAGCACAGCAGCTTCTCACTCATGTTCTCCAGCTCTGGGCTGAGGAATCTGAGATGGAGATATTTTACAGAGATGGCCAGTGAGATCTTCAGATCTTGCCTTCACAAACTGGCCATCTCTGTAAAAGTGAATAACAGAAGGGTGTGTCCAGTGATGAGAAGGGAAGAATATGTTTTCCGCCCCTCACCTCAGCTTCATAAATCAGCACAGAGATCAGCTGTGATCATCAGGACCTCGGCTTTTCTCTCTTTCATAAACGGACACCTTATTGCAAGAGAGGATTTTGCTCGCTTTGGAAACCGCAGCTTGGCATTGCATGCCATTATTAAGCTTGTGATCTACCAGAGCCCCCAGATCCTTCTCCACCATTGATTCCCCCAGTTGTACCCCCCCCCACAGTATGTATGATGCATGCATATTCTTAGCCCCCAAGTGCATCACCTTACATTTATCAACATTAAACCTCATTTGCCACATAGTTGTCCAATTAACCGCTTCCCGGTCACCCTATAGCAGAAATATTGCTACAAAATCATGTGTATATATACGTGATTTCACATTTCAGGGTAGGGGGTGTGCATGAGCCACGCACGCCCTACCCGTGCCGCAGCTGTCAATCACCGGGTCCCGGCCAGTGATTACCCGCCGGCGCCCAGTGATTACCGAGCATCTTTGACAGGGAGGACTGTTTTGTTTAGTAACAGTTCTCCTCCCTGTTGGCTCGGACACACTGCTTTGGATGGCTGTGCCCAGTGCCATTAGTACAGTGTCAGGGCTTTTTTCAGCACTGAACTCTGTATTGGTGTCACTGGGGATGTCAGTGACACCAAGTCAGTTCCCTCCCAGTGTCAGAATGCCCCGCAGTCCCACTATAAGTTGCTGATCACCACCATTACTAGTAGAAAAAAAAAATTCCAGTATCTATACTGCCATTTGTAGACGCTATAACTGTCACGTAAACCAATTAATTTACAGGTATTGGGATTTTTTTTTTAGCAAAGGCATGTAACAGAATACATTGTGGCCTAAATTTATGACGAAATTTGATTTTTTTTTATTCTTTTTACTGGACATGTTTAATAGCAAAAAGTCAAAAATATTGTTTTTTTCTCAAAATTGGCGGACTTTTTTTTATAGCGCAAAAAATTAAAAATGCACAGGCGATCAAACACCACCAAAAGAAAGCTCAATTTGTGGGGAAAAAAGGTTGTCAATATCATTTGGGTGTAGCATTGCATCACAGCAGAATTGTCAGTTAAAGTAACGCAGTACCGTAACGCAAAAAATGTCCTGATCGGGAAGGAGGATAAATCCTCAAGAGGGCAAGTGGTTAAACAGTGTATTGAGATTAGCTTGTAAATTGGAGGCATCCTCTAAGGACGTTATTCTATTGCTTAGCTTGGTGTCATTTGCAAAGACTGAAATGTTACTTTTAATCACAGACCCTATATAATTTATATATATATATTAACCGTGGCCCGCGGGTGCCCGATTTGATCCTCGAGGGATCAATCATCCTATTTAGGCCATTGATGTCCACATCACATTTAACCCCTTGATTGCCAGAAACACACGCATACACAAGAAACCTCTATTGCTAGTATAATGTCCGAACAGATCAATATCTTTGATCAGATCAGCACTATACCAGCATTCACATTAGTATAGCGTCCCCAAAAACGCAGCATTAGCGGGATCAGCCCTGGCAGTAGGTCACTGTCACTTGATATATTGCACACAAAACCACGGTGTTTGCCAAATCAAAAAATAAAAAGCGCACTTACTGGGATTTTTTTTTTACCAAAGACATGTAGCAGAATACATTTTGGCCTAAATTTATGGCAAACTTTGAGTTTACTATATGTTTCTTATAGCCGATAGTAAAAAAATATATATATATATTTTTTTCAAAATTTTCGGTCTTTTTTTGTTTGTCTTAATGACCAGACCCTTTTTTGTTATTCGGGGCTGCACTATTTCAACTGGTAATTGCGTGGTCATGCAATGCTGTACCCAAACTAAATCCTCAGGATGGCAAGTGGTTAAAAAGTAAGGGTCCCAAAACTGAACCTTGGGGTACACCATTAATGACCCTAGACCAGTGGTTCTCAACCTGTGGGTCGCGACCCCTTTTGGGTTTGAATGACCCTTTCACAGGGGTCCTCTAAGACCATCAGAAAACACATATTTCCAATGTGTAAAGAGAAGCTACTGTGTAGAAAGCAGCTGCTGTGTTGAAAGCAGCTACTCTGTTAAAAGCAGCTACTGTGTTGAAAGCAGCAGTATTGGAGGTAAAACGACACTCATGAATTATAATTACTGGGTAAATAATTTTATGGTTGGGGGTCACCACAACATGAGGAACTGTATTAAAGGGTCACGGCATTAGGAAGGTTGAGAACCACTGTCCTAGACTATTCAGAGTATGAATCATTCATCAGTACTCCCTGAATGCAGTCTTTTAGCCAGTTTTCTATCCATTTAAAAACTGATTTTTCTAAACCCGTAGACTTTACCTTACACTTAGATAGCTGCACCAGATTTTGCACTTTCCAGTTTTAGTAAATAAACCCCTATGAGTGCTGTGGCGCTCTGGGTACATGAGCATTTTTTCGGCACTCTTGGGCACACTCAGAGCACATTCAAAATAAATAGGCTGCCTTAAGGCAACAAGCCTTAACTCACAAGTAAGTGTGAATGGGCCCTATGTACTTAAATTGCCTTGTTCCTTATAATTTGACAAATCAATGTAGTTTTCATTATAATGTAGCTAGAACATTTTAATCAGTTGGGTTGTCATGTGTTCTTAGTGGTGAACTGAAGCTGTTTCTCCCAGCTGTGGCTGATTACCTGGTCCTCTCCAAAATTCGCAAGATGCTGGGATTTTCTCACTGCCAGAAACACTTCTCAGGTGCTGCTCCTATCTCCAAGGGAACCCTGGAATTCTTCCTTGGCCTTAATATCACACTTTATGAAGCCTATGGAATGAGTGAGACATCAGGACCGCACGTCATGTCCAGCCCTTATACTCATCGCTTCCAGTGGTAAGAATACCTCCTAAAACTGTTCTTCGCAGTCTTCTATTAAATGTTCTTTATTTTTCACAAGCAGATTTTCAGTCCCAGCTCTTAAACCAGGAAGACATAAAACAGCTGGATTTCATCAAGATATACAGTATAATAAATCTATAGAAAAAAATTTTGTTTTACATTATAAGTGTACTCTAGGAATATATAAGACACCAATTATTGCAGCTCTGTATTCATTAAACTATAAATTAAATGTATTTTTCTAAATAAAAGCAAATATCAATTTTACTTCAGCCTCTTGGAGTGCACTGTACAGCAGAGCTCAGACCAGGAGCCATCGACACAAGGAGCCAGTCAGTTGTGCTGCAGTACACATGAGCTAACAAGGAACATGCTGACAGGAGGAGAGAGCAGAGTGACAGAAAAATTAGCTCATCGGTGTACAGCTTCTTCTTTCACTGCCCAATCACAGGCTGGGAAGAGACACGCATATAAATTAAATCCAATATATGGTGGCTCCTAATTCAATGTGTTGGTTCCCAAAAGTGAAAAATGTATATAAAACAATAACAATCTTTAGCAGCCCCTTTAAGTTTAAACACACCAATAAACAATGTGACTATGTAATGATAGGCACTAAATCGGCATAAACCTTAAAAACATATATATGAAACAGTAATAAAAATGCTAAAATCCATTATAGTGCATATCCCAACACCACATTGTGATAAGGGTCCTTAAAAGGATGCCAGATGATGATAATCTCCCAAATTATTCTCCACTTGTGCTCATACTGAATATACATTCACTAAAGGACGTTGACCCATTTATTACAAGAAGGTCAATCAGCGCTTTTGTTTCCCAGAGTTGTTATACTCATGAAGGAGATCTCCAGATTTCCTCCATACAGTTGTGTCTTTCAGATACACTCAATAAACAAATGGGGGACATCCAATAAAAATGTGCAGCATTAATTTGTGTGTAAATAGAGCATAAAAGTTGTAACATTTAAAACTTCATTTTAAGGTTTACGTGTAAGTCTTTCATAATGTGCTAGTATGCGATGTATACTACCACATTATGGCATTACCTTGCAGGGGTACCAGACTTTTTTTTCATGAATTTACTACACCTTTAAAGCTTGGTAAGCGACTCATCCCCAAACTACTGATAATTCTACTATGCAAAATGCCTGAGAATCACTCCGCATTCAAGTCTGAATCCTACTGTGGAGGAGATTACAGAAAGGGTTTTTTTTCAACATATAACTGAAATAGTGCCTTTTTATTATCTGCTTGCTCAGCTTCAACCCCATATTAGTGATTTAAGTTTCCAAGTGTAGGTGAGCCAAAGTCTGATCATGGCCCCCTGTTCTTCCATATTGCTGCCATCCTTAGAGGTATACTGCTGTAGTCTTCTCTAGATATTCCCCACAGATATGGTGTTAGATATCCTTTGTATGAATTACTTCTTTTTTTTTTCTGCTAATGCCTGTATATTAAACATAGGTCTATTGGAATACCATGACAAAGAAGCAGGAAAGTGACACAGCAGATTACACTACTGCATTACAAATATATATACAGTTGTGTTCAAAATAATAGCAGTCAGACATCACTAACCTGATCAATCACTGTTTTTGGTAGAAATGATATTTCTACATGGCAAATAATATACTAGCAGGTGTAGTAGAGTAATAGAAATCCAACAGACCCAACAGTCATGACATGCGTGCTGCTGATTCTGTGTAATTGAATCACTAATTGAAAGGGGCATGTTCAAAATAATAGCAGTGTGGAGTCCTATTAGTGAGGTCATTCATTCTTTGAAAAACCGGTGGCAATTATTGCCCTTATTTAAGGAAGGAAGGCAGCAAATGTTGTACATGCTGGTTACAGTGCATTTCTCTCTGAAATTCTGAGGAAAATGGGTCGTTCCAGACATTGTTCAGAAGAACATCGTACCTTGATTAAAAAGTTGATTGGAGAGGGGAAAACTCATGAAGAGCACATTGACTGGCCTAAAGAGAAATGGCGCAACGTTTTGTGGACTGATGAAAGTAAGATTGTTCTTTTTGGGTCTAGTGGCCGGAGACAGTTTGTCAGACGACCCTCAAACACTGAATTCAAGCCACAGTACACTGTGAAGACAATGAAGCATGGTTGCGCAAGCATCATGATATGGGGATGTTTCTCATACTACAGTGTTGGGCATATTTATCGCATACCAGGGATCATGGATCAGTTTGAATACATCAGAATACTTGAAGAGGTCATGTTGCCTTATGCTGAAGAGGAAATGCCCTTGAAATGGGTGTTCCAACAAGAGAACGACCCCAAACACACCAGTAAAAGTGCAACATCTTGGTTCCAGACCAACAAGATTGACGTTATAGAGTGGCCAGCCCAATCCCCGGATCTTAATCCAATAGAAAACTTGTGGGGTGACATCAAAAATGCAGTTTCTGAGGCAAAACCAAGAAATAGAGAAGAACTGTGGAATGTAATCCAATCATCCTGAGCTGGAATACCTGTTCACAGGTGCCAGAAGTTGGTTGACTCCATGCAACACAGATGTACAGCAGTTCTCAGAAACAGTGCTTATACAACTAAATATTAATTAAGTGATTCAAAGGAAAGCAAAATCTGCAAACATTAGTGAATGTTTGAGTTTGCAAAGAAGAATACAAACACTGCTATTTTTTTGAACAGTCTAATATTCACTTTTCTTCAATTTTTTTAGAGGAACAACACAAATTTGATATATTTTTCTTCATGTTTTGATTTAGAATAGAATGTGTAGTGTTCCCAATGCATTTTGTGTGTATGGAAATAAAAGCTATTAGAAGGATTTTGAGCTTTATTCACTTTTTTCAACACACTGCTATTATTTTGAACACAACTGTGTATGTGTATATATATATATATATATATATATATATATATATATGCATACACATACATATATATACTGTGTGTGTGTATATATATATATATATATATATATATATATATATATATATATATATCATGGCTTCATCTCTAGGTCCATCGGAGCATGTTGCAAAAGTTTCTGTCTGGATATTCTCTACTTACTGATTCTTCTTATAATTTATAAGGATCCATTAGAATAAATTGATTGTGCTAAAATATCATCTTGGTTTATGTTTTATAATGGAATGCAAAAGATATTGCACTGTAAGCTCTTGGAGCTTTGCTTGATTTATTATTGATTTTAAAGTGCTGTGGAATATACCAATGCTAAATGCATAAAATGAATATATGAAAAACTTTTTCTAAAGCTTAATTGCTTAAGTGGAATTTATTTAGAAAGTGGTTGTTGGTTTCTTCTACCAACCTTTTACAATTTTTCAGCAAAATCTTTTTAGTCACTTCTAAAATAAGAAAAAATGCCTAATTTTCCCAAATACAGGGAATGAAACCCATACCTACAGAGAAAATCTTGCACTTTGAATGGCTGAAAAACCAATATAGTTACTGTGCAGTTGTCTGCAGATCAAGAGCTAACTAGTTCTACCAGCCAATGCCTGGCTTACAAGAAAAATGTTTGTGTTTTAGGAACTTTTTTTCCTTGGTGAGTGTCAGTAAACGCCTATTTAAAAATTTTGTAAAAATCTATCAAAGTATTTATTCTTAAAGGCTAAGTTCACCTTTTGAAGAAAAAAATAATAAATTAACATTTATATTCTAAGAAGCCTGTAAAGCATTGCACCCACGATCAGCAGATTGCGGGTGCAATGTCAGACTCCTGCAGACTTCCAAGACAGCTGTCTGCCTGATACGGACAGGCAGTTGAGAGCAGGAAGATCAATGCATGAGAGCGCTCATCAGCGCCCTCGCAGTTCATTGAGAATTACAAGCTGTCAGCCACAATGGCTGACAGTACTTGTAGTGCACGGGTGTCAAACTAGCAGCCCTCCAGCTGTTGCCAAACTACAAGTCCCACGAGTCATTGCAAGATTGACAGTTACAAGCATGACTCCCAAAAGTAGAGGCATGATAGGACTTGTAGTTTTGCAACAGCTGGAGGGTCACCAGTTTGATACCCCTGTTGTAGTGCATTCATTCATAGGAAATTGTGGATGAATGACGTGTCCATGTGGGTGGAGCCCCGTACAGCTGTACTGTTTTCAAATTGTGACAGCAAGTGTGGGGAGGAGATCCCCTGCCTGCTGTCACAACAAGGGGGGCATCAGAGGGAAAGGGTTAATGCTGAACATGTTACACCCAAAATATGGCTGTAACACATTACATGTTCAGAAAGGTTAATTTAGCCTTTAACTCAAAGTGCTCTCATCCTTCTAATCTCCAAATTCCTTTCTTTTGTTTTTGCTATGGTGATCCTACTCCCTGTTAGAGGGTGTCTAAATCCATTCTCCATATCCTTACTGTATGTAGAAATGTAGCCATCCTCATAGATTGGGGATCGTGGCATGTGTAGTGTGCACAGAATAATGCACATGACTGCAACCAACATGCGCTGGTCATAATGGAAATGACGGGGAAAAGGGAGCAGACAAAACAGTAAGAAACAATTTCGTGAAAAATAGATTATAGGGCAATTAGGTAGTTGATGTGTATGGATTATTTATGGAGAATAAGGATCACTTGTTTCACTTTATTGATCATTACCAGCGTGCCGTTTTATAGGTACTGCTCACATGTGTAATGAGAAGATACCTACAGTATATGACAGACACAGCTGGAACCCACAATATTACATACCAGCTGTAACACTGTAATATTCTTCTTTTTTTTTTTTTTAGTTCATGTTACTATGGAAAACAAATTCTTTTATTGGCATGAATGGATGCTTATGTCAGCAGATAGCTAACTTGTTACCCCCTTCTATACAATGCATGCACTGAACATCTAACAATGAAGTCCTTTTCACAGCTGTGGCAAGGCTGTGCCCGGATGTCAAATGAAAATAGTTAACAAAGACTCCGATGGAAATGGAGAAATCTGCTTTTGGGGCCGGACAGTCTTCATGGGATATCTAAACATGGAGGAAAAGACTAAAGAGGTTTTTGATGAGGATGGCTGGTTACATTCTGGAGACATTGGCAAAATGGACACTGATGACTTTCTGCAGGTGACAGGCAGAATCAAAGGTATTTTTTTCAAAATGTCTTTACTGATTTACAATTAAATGTGTATACTTTCTCTAGAAAGATGAGGCAGTCACTGGCTAGGTGTGGCCCTCCAAGGGTTCAAAAAGGTGTCGTGGCTTGGTAGTAATGTTTAATCTAATTCCTACACCCCCTTTTTAGTTAGATCACTTCTCCATTTACTAATTTTACTTTCATTTAACCACAGACATGTGATAACAATCTGTAATAAAGGGAACAAATCTGACTTTGGAAGATCCTATGCTTAGTGGCCAAACTGGTAATTGTACCCCATCCGTATTATGACCTACAGCACCCTGTATTTGGAGACAGAAGCTGCTACCATCCATATTCTAATCTGAGGCACTGTGGTCATTGGCATCTGTTGAAGAGCTTGATTAAAATGACAAAATTATGGTTCTTTGCTGTGCAAACTTTTGAAAAGAAATCCAATACAGAGGTATGAAGTGAAGGATTCAAATACATGCTCACACACTAGCATCTTCTCATCTGTATAGATACCTTGCAGCAAATCCGGGAGTAAAGCAAGGGCAAATTGAAGCAACTCAGAAGCACCTATGAACATGCGATTTTACTTGCTTAAAGTCTGATGCCTGCGTATATGTGCTATAATGCTGCAGAGGGTTGCTCTGCCCCAGAACTAGCACTACTCTTTGATGTTGGTTACAGTGATATTAAACCCAAAAGCAAACATTTAATATATGGCAGATTACCATTTAATCTGGGGATCTGGTCAGTAAGTCTTTTGTTTTTCAACAGAACAAACTCTCCTGAAAATGTATCAGAGTGTTGAGACACACCATTTACCACTGGCAGGGGTGCTTACAATGATTAGCTTTTATTTATTCATGTACAACCTTTATCCCAAAAGGAAAAACAGCTGTTGCTGTAACTGCAATGTGAGCTGGAGTTTGGCTTCAGTACATCAAAATCTGCTTGTCCATTCCCTGCCCCCCGACTGACAATGTTGCTGTTCAAGGGTGTCCCTGTTGCTCCATCATCCAGACTGGGGACAGGAGGTTTGTTACTGGCCAGATCACCAGGTGAAAACAGAAGGGAAAAGGCCTAAAACAAGAAAACGAATGCAGCCACCATAAGGATTAGTAAACTTACATTTTTGGTTTTGAGATTAATACTGCTAACTGCCTCCCGCCTGCCATATAAGGTAATGACGGGTACAAGGTGGTTCTCTCGTTCTGGGAGGATGTCCTCCCACTCTAACCACACGTGCGCATCCCCCTGGTGAGCGCAGTGCGGCGATCGGTGGTGTGCTGTGTCCCTGGGACACAGCAGATCACCGATCAATGGAAAGAGCCAAAGATGTCGGCCCTGTCATGTCATGTGATCAGCTGAGGAGAGCCGAGGGGACAGGTACACTGATCATCAGGGCATGATCAGTGATGATTAGCGTGCCCTGATGATCAGTGTAGCCCCAGCAGTGCCACTTGTAAGTGCCCATCAATGCCACCTACCAGTGCCCATCAATACCACCTGCCAGTGCCCATCAGTGCCACATATCAGTGCCCATCTGAGCTGCCTTTCAGTGCCACCTATCAATGCCAGTCAGTGCCATCTATCAGTGCTGCCCATCAGTGCCACCTATTAGTGCCAGTCAGTGCCGCCTCTCAGTACGCATCAGTGTCGCCTATCAGTGCCAGTCAGTGCCGCCTATCAATGCCATATATGAGTGCTGCCTTCAGTGCCCACCAGTGATGCCTGTCAATGCTCATCAGTGCCACCTACCAGTGCCTCCTCATCAGTGCCCATCAGCGCACATCTGTGAAGGAGAAAATCACTTATTTACAAAATTTTATAACAAACTAAGAAAAAAAACTTTTTAAGTTGTTTTTGGTTTGTTTAACAAGAATTAAAAACCCAGAGGTGATTAAATACCACCAGAATAAAGCTCTGTCACAAACAAATGATAAAAGTTTCATATGGGTACAGTGTTGCATGACCGCGCAATTGTCATTCAAAGTGTGACAGCGCTGAAAGCTGAAAACTGGCCTGGGCAGGAAGGGGGTATAAGTCCCCTGTAGTCAAGTGGTTAATGGGGACTATGCCAGGGAATTGCCCACACAAGTTCCAGAATACAAACAAATCCAGCATACGGATCTCCCAGTACATTTCTATCTGACCTTCATTCCCCAGATAAGGGTGGCAGTTTGGTTTCCTAAAGCATGCTCTACATACTTCTGTTGATCATTGTTATAAGCTGTTGAAACTGCAGATACAACATAAAGGGCACCTGGTTTATATAAAGTACACAAAGACATTCCATTTAGGGGCATGTTGGGAAAATAGGGATCATACAGAAAACTGCATTTGCAGGATTGTTTCTGATATTCACACAGTTGAGGTCCAAAGGCATACAGCTATTTCCTATTATAATCACCGACAGCTGGATTGGGTGACAATCATCTTTCCCTCTAAGCATACCATAAGTTGCAACAAGGCTTCTTGCATTTTGAAGATGGTGTAGGCGTAGGATATGGTGTCAGACTTACATGTACATAGATATTCTATGATAATAAATACAATGTATATACATATATAATATACAAACACATGTACAGACCTCAATATGGTAAAAAGCTACATGTGCACAGATGTACTCCTCCTCTGCTATTCTATTCAAAAGCAAATGCAAATGGTAGCTTTACAACTCCCAAGCCATATGCTACAACGACTAAAGAATGAATTTCACCAGCAGATTATTGTAATTGTAGGCCAAATGAAGTTTTAATTGTTTACTATAATACAAAATGCCTTACATAATTCATCAGTCCTAGTGTTAAAAAAAAAAACCACACATGCCTAATTGTAAAGGTTTTTACCAAATTTGTGTGTTTTGTGTATTTATACATACAGTGCCTTGAAAAAGTATTCATACCCTTGAAATTTTCCACATTTTGTCATGTTACAAGCAAAAATGTAAATGTAATTTATTTTTTTGGGATAGTCCAACACAAAGTGGCACATAATTGTGAAGTGGAAGGAAAAAGATAAATGGTTTACAACATTTTTTACAAATAAATCTGTGAAAAGTGTGGCGTGCATTTGTATTCAGCCCCCCTGAGTCAATATTTTGTCTTTTTGGGGATGTCTCTACCAGCTTTGCACATCTAGAGAGTAAAATTGTTGCCCATTCTTCTTTGCAAAATAGCTCAAGCTCTGTCAGATTAGATGGAGAGTGTCTGTGAACAGCAATTTTCAAATCTTGCCACAGATTCTCAATTTGATTTAGGTCTGGACTTTGACTGGGCAATTCTAACACATGAATATGCTTTGATCTAAACCATTCCATTGTAGCTCTGGCTGTATGTTTAAGGTTGTTGTCCTGCTCTAACCTCCGCTCCAGTCTCAAGTTTTTTGCAGACTCCAACAGGTTTTCTTCTAAGATTGACCTGTATTTGGCTCCATCCATCTTCTTATTAACTCTGACCAGCTTTCCTGTACCTGCTGAAGAAAAGCATCCCCACAACATGCTGCTGCCACCATGTTTTTCACGGTGGGGATGGTGTGTTTAGAGTGATGTACAGTGTTAGTTCTCTGCCATACATAGCATTTTGCATTTAGGCCAAAAGGTCAGATTTGTGGAGTGCACAACTAATAGCTGTCCTGTGGAAAGATTCTCCCATCTGAGCTGTGGATCTCTGCAGCTCCTCCAGAGTTACCATGGGCCTCTTGGCTGCTTCTCTAATTAATACTTTCCTTGCCTGGCCTGTCAGTTTAGGGAGCTGGCCATGTCTTGGTAGATTTGCAGTTGTGTCATACTTTCCTTTTTCGGAGGATGGATTGAACAGTGCTCCCTGAGATGTTTGAGGTTGGGATAATTTTTTATAACCTAACCCTGCTTTAAACTTCTCCACAACTTTATCCCTGACCTGCCTGGTGTGTTCCTTGGCCTTCATGATGCTGTTTGTTCACTAATGTTTTATAACAAACCTCTGAAGGCTTCACAGAACAGCTGTATTTATACTGAAATTAAATTACATACAGGTGGACTTTATTTTCTAAATAGGAGACTTCTGAAGGCAATTGGTTCCACTAGATTTTAGTTAGGAGTATCAGGGTAAAGAGGGCTGAGTACAAACGCACACCACACTTTTCAAACATTTATTTGTGACAAATTTTGAAAAACATTTATCATTTTCCTTCCACTTCACAATTATGTGCCATTTTGTGTTGGTCTATCACATAAAATCCCAATAAAAACCATTTATATTTTTGGATGTAACATGACAAAATGTGTAAAATTTCAAGGGGTATGAATACATTTTTCAAGGCACTGTACACAAAAACACTATATACAGTATGTATAATAGCTATATACATATAAGCCTGACAGGACATCCACTTTTTTTGTAGTATTATAAATTTTATAATAGCAAATAAAGCATATATTCTGTATAATAAATGTATGTTCTGCCCACAGAGCTAATCATCACTGCAGGTGGAGAGAATGTACCACCCATCCCTAAGCAGTCCGGTTTTGTAATGATGTTGGCAGTAAGGCCACAACAGTGACCGAGATTGTGGGACAGAAGGACCAGGCTGCTTATAGAGCAATTCAGGAGGGTATAGACAAGGTCAACAGTGAAGCGGTTTCAAATGCCCAGCGTATTCAGAAGTGGGCAGTCCTACCCAAGGATTTTTCAATATCAGGAGGTGAAATGGGTGAGTGAAACGCATTATACGATCTTACACTGGGCAACTTGTTATGGTTTGTAATAAATACCCCCCCCCCCCATCACAGATTAAAAAAAAATAAAAATAGGATTTCTGCATTCAACATAAAATCCGTTTCTTTGGGACACAGGGCGATTTTCACTAGGCATACCTAGAGGAGGACTGGCCTCTGAGAAACAAAGACAGCACAAGATAAACCTTCTCGCTAGCAGCATGCTTCAGTTTTGTAGGAAAGCAGTACTGAGAGCATGATCAAAAACACAGGGGGATGGGACTTGTATCCCTCACTGAGCGAAATCCAAGAAAAGGGTTTTACAGTGAGTTCAAATCCTAATTTATTTAGAGGAAACCGTACATCCAACTTAGGGGTGGGCAACCAGCAAACTAATGCCAACAGAAACAAAAACAATAGCAAACTGGGAACTGCTAGCAGCTCAATAGCTGCCTGAAGGATCTACACTGAAGCTGGCATCAGATGAGTTTGCAACCTCCACCTGGTAGAATGAAAATTGTGAGAAACAGAGTTTTTGCGTTAAAAAAAAAGAAAGAAAAAAAAAAAAAAAAAAAAAAGCGCAAGAAAAACACATGACCAATAAATCCTATGTAACTCTTCACACTGGTCAGTTGCAGGCCCATTGCGTATTTCAAAGTCCTGCCTGCTACATGTTTAGTACGGTAAAAAAAAAAAAAGCACCATAATCGCACTTCCCCATTGAAATGAATGAAAACCGCCTCAAAATTGTGGCAAAAACGTACCCTGAGGTTGTGTTTTTGATGCATTTTTGAGTCACATGTCCATTTTTAAATAGGGAAAAACCACATATGCGTTTTTACCATGTTTTTGCATTGAGTAGTGTGAAAGTAGCCCAAGCCTTGCATTGGGAATTGATTCACAATGCCAAAAGAGCCAGACACACTCACAACCAATGAAGTAAATCTTGACAGGAGCAACTGATCCTACAGACCCAGCTTGAAGCTGGAACCTGAACCACCCAAAGTGGAATGAGACCCAAATGACCTAACATGATTTATCCAGGTTGTACAACACCTCAACTTACCTGATCCCACCACAGATCAATATCTGGAAAGTAAAGGCTGATAGATCATACTCTCACCTTGCCAAGGCAAGGACTACAAGGAAGTAGAAGTACCTAAAAGAAATCCAAAGGGTCTTTTCGCTTCCTGAGAATACGGTGAGAACCAAAGTTTGATCCTTCTGCATCATAGGAGAGACAAGTGGGGAGCAGTACATGGGAACCCTCTACAAAAGGTCTTAAGCAAGGGGATAGGTCAGCATACTAACCAATAGCATAGAAGAGGCTGGATTTGACAATGCTGAGATCAAGTTTTAACCTATTTGTACGAAGAAAGACACCCGCTAAGGGCACTATCCTTCCTATCTTGAGCACCATAAATCCTCAGATTTAAAGATGCTCCTGACTCAGCAAATCCAACAATCTGTCAGCACACATGATCAACAGTCAGGAGCCTTAGCAGGTCAACTACATTCACCTTTTTCCATCTAGAACAAGGAGGATTACCAGAAAGCTCCCCTCTGAAGGCTGGAAGGCAGACAAGGAAGGAACATTAGAAGAGGAAGGGCCTGGACCTGAGCACAGAAAGACCCAAAGCCTGTTTATCATGCAGCTGAACCAGGGTATCGGGGTGTTTGTAACACAGGTCCTGGAATGCACAAGGACAGAAGGATCAACCCCCCCCCCCCCAATCCGGATGTAACCATTTGGGAAACTATGTCCATCCCGGAAAAGAGGACAGCTAACAGGAAAGAACATAAGGATTTGCCCATGTCAGGATCCGAACTTGCAGCTTAGTGATAGGTGATGATGCACTAATATTAATGATAATTGAAACCCTCAGTCCAGGTTCACACTATCCATTGCAAATTACATTCATAATGTCTGTGCGGTGCGATTTGAGCCATACACTTTGTATGTCTCAAATCACATCCGCACCAAAAAGGTGCAGGACCCTTTTTTAAATACGCACCTGAATTGCATCATATAGTTGTTCTCATCCATGCGATGCCAGACATCACTTTTTAACATTGACACCCACACCAGATCACATGAACACGATACGACTGCAATGGAAACACACAGGATTCGCAGTGTTTCCCGCACTGGTGTGAACCAGGTCTTATTGTGTGAAAAAACATAAATCACTTATATACCATAAATACATAAATAAATGCATAACTTCTAGTGCATTACTACATGTGCAAACAAAAGCTCAATATATGGATCAGTTCACAAAGTCCACACTGTATGCGTGGTTATCCAACACCGCAATTATACACGTGCTGCTTGTTAACTTCGTACAATAAAGTGAACTACATTCACCTGTTTTTATCTAGAACAAGGAGGATTACCAGACAGCCCCCTCTCTGAAGGCTGGAAGGCAGACAAGGAAGGAACATTAGAAGAGGAAGGGCCTAAACCTGGGCACAGAAAGGCCAAATTCACAAAAAGAACATTGGGGAACTGGAGAAAGTACAGAGAAGGGCAACCAAACTGATAAGAGGCATGGAGGAGCTCAACTATGAGGAAAGATTAGAGGAACTGAATTTATTCTCTCTTGAGAAGAGGAGATTAACCCCCCTGGCGGTATTCCCGAGTGTAGCTCGGGGTTAACTTTCAGAACCAGAAGCGGTAACCCCAAGCTACATTTGGGATTACTCTGCAGCGTTGCTCAGGGATTCCCTCCAGCCCTTAGCTTGTCCTGCACTCCAGCGATGTCCCCCCTGCAGCGTCCTCTGGCCGATGCCGGCATCTGGGTTCCGTTCCCTGCAAGCATCGGGACATACGGGGGACGGAACCGGCTATAATTTAAAAAAATTATAAAGTGACATTCACTCAATACACTAAAATCTCATAGTATAACATTACTATATCAAACCATTTCACATACATTTTTTCCCTAGTGCTTTGTCCTGTGCCCTGCCTCCATTTTTACCGTTCTTTCTGCCTGGAAACTGAGAAACATCCATGGCATCCAAAAAGCGTCCCTTTAGGTCAAAAGCGATTTTAGACCAGCTAGAATACAGCGATAGTAAATTAGAACCACTTGCAGAATTGAGTGATAATAATTTGTGGGGAAATTCGTCATCAGACACTGAAAACAATTCTGCGACTAAGCTCAGCAATGTGCGAACTTGGCGCTATATTTCAAATTTCAGTGTTTTTGGTTTGATTACATTATTGTATTAAATTATCTTTTCATGATTATTTATTATATTATAATTTATGATTTCATGTTTCAAATTTTATCATAACAGGATGTTTAGACTCTTGTTCGGACAGATTGCAGTGAGTGATTCCTAAGAATTACAGGCCTACAATTAAAAAAAAAAAAACGTATTTCCATGCAAAAAAAATGTACCGCTTTGAGCACAGAAATATTGACATAACCATACCACTAGGGAGGTTAAGGGGGGGATATGATCAACATGTATAAATACATCAGTAGTTCATATAGTTAACTCGGTGTAGAGTTATTCACCCTGAGGTCATTACATAGGACAAGGGGGCACTCTTTACGTCTGGAGGAAAATAAATTTAATCTCCAAACAAGGAAAGGTATCTTCACAGTAAGAGCTGTGAAAATGTGGAATAGACTCCCTGAAGAGTTGATTCTGACCAGCTCAGTGGATTGCTTTAAAAAAGGCCTGGGTTATTTCCTAGATACACAGAATATAACTGGATACTAACATTTATAGGTAAAGTTGATCCAGGGAATATCCAATTGCCTCTTGGGGGATCAGGAAGGAATTTTTTCCCCTGCAGGAGCAAATTGGATCATGCTTTGCTGGGTTTTTTGCCTTCCTCTGGATCGACTGTGGGTGTAGGATTATAATTTTTTTTTTTTTTTGGGTGAAGTGGATGGATTTTTGTCTTTTTTCAGCCAGACTGTGTAAAAGTGCTACCTCTGTGCTCAGAGAACTCTCAACTCCAGATTTATATCATAATGCGTATATATGACATTCCATCTAGATTCCACCAACTCTGGATGGAATGTCATATATATACGCATTGTAATAAAATTTGGAGGTGAGAGTTCAGTGAGCACAGAGGTGGCACTTTATTGTGTGAAGTTAACAAGCAGTACGTGTAAAATTTTGGTAGTGGATAATCACGCATACAGTGTGGACTTTGTGAATTGATCCATATATTGAGCTTTATGTTTTCACATTTAGTAGTGCACTAGAAGTTATATATTTATGAATTGATGGTATAGAAGAGATTTATACATTTTTCACACAATAAGGGTTGCAATTATCATTAATTACAGTACAGCATCACCTATCACAATCTTGCATCTCATTAAATGTGGGAACACATTATGATGCAAGCAGCAGATATTTAAAGAGATACACACCTAGTTCACTTGTATTCATGTCACATTAAATGAATAGCACAACCACTTAGTTTTTAGGTAGCACAGGAGTTTTAATATAGAATTCCGTATATGAACTTGACGCAGCAAAATTTCCATTTACTTCTAAATGGTAGTGGCACATCAGTGAACAGATCCAAAGCAAGAGACCCACCAAGGAAATGATCCAGCGAAGTAGAAGATACCATCTCCTTAATCACCAGGCCATATACTGGAAGAGGTAAATTCTCCAAAGATAGGATCTTAGAATCATGATACTATTAAAAATAGTATCATGATTCTGTCTGAAGAGACATCATCCCTTTGAAGACCGTGCACATCAGGTGCTCTTTGGACACAGGGTCAGCAGACCAGCACTTTAATCAGTGTAAAATGGGAAACAAGCTAAAATGCTTCCAGCAGTCCATCACAGATGAAGCTTAAGGCTTTAGCCATCTGCTTCACTCA